ATTTTTAATAAATTAATCACGTATTGGCATATTTCCGTTTTTTATGGGTCAATAACAATTGCTTTTTCTGAATTGTTTTTCCCGCTCAGCAGAAAGCTGTTCCCTGCTTAGTATAACTCTTTTTTATTTTTTTTTTATAAAGATAATAATTAGAGGTTAATAAAATTAAAATTGTTAATAAGAAAAAATATCTCTCACCCACACCATATCAGAAAGAATAGGCTTTCAACTGCAATCAAGACGATTCGTTGTGCCCAATCTGTTTCTGCATCCAATTTCCTATAAACCATTTTTTAGACCTGCAGGTATACAATTCTTTCTATTGTATTCTTTTTGAAGTATAAAATGAAAGTAAAAATAGTTTTTGGCACACGATGCACAAAAAAATATATGTACACATGGTTTAAGCATTGAAGTTATTAAAATATTATTTTTTATACATTAAATAATAAATTATGCAGTAAAAAATAATTTTTTTTTAAATTTTTTTACTTATCCCAAGAGATTTGAACTTGATGTTTAATTTAAAAAAATAAAACAACAATAATAATTTTGAAATTAGTATAGTATTTATTAGCATAATGTTTTAATAAAAAAACATTTTTTTACTATAATTTTATGATTAAGTTTTAATTTTAATTATTTATTCCATCATAAAATTCTGATTTGTTTAAATTTTTTCTTAACATCTTTTGTTATTTACTTTGACCTTTTTTTAAATCCGAAAGACCAATATCAATAGGAGTACTTGTGTTTTTTATTGTTAAGTTTGTCTTAAATTAATTGTTATTATAGTTTTAATCATAGATGAATATTTCTTCTTTTTTTTAAAATTTTATTATTATTTATTTATTTTAGTTAATTATTGTATCATAAAAAATTATCTTTTTATATTTCAATTTATTTAAGGATAACAGAGTTAAATGTATGAGTTGATCTCAAATCTTTAATGAAAAAAATAAAAATAATATCATTTATTTTAGAATCGAAATAATAGTAAATTTAAACAAAAATATAGTAGTAATTACCATAATAAGAAGGTTGAATCAACCTGATAAATAAGGAAGGACTAAACCAGAGAAACTATATTATAAACCATGCTCGATAACCGACAATTTTGGCCACTGACTCCGATTCCGCCAATTGGATTGGTTAAATTGGTCTGTCCAAACCAGTTAATTTAATAAAAATTAATCTT